CTTGTCTTGATGAGTTTTATGAAATAAATGCTTATGTTTATGATGACTAAGGTGTTTATGTGTGTATGGATATTCTGGGAAATGCTAGATTGATTGAAAATGAATTGTATGATTGTTTGAGACCTAGCTCACCCTTGCATTTGTATGTGTTGCATGTGTTTGCTTTCCCCCTTGCGATGATCATCCAATCCTTTGGATGTGAGCAGTAGATGATGATGTACCTTTGGAGCAAGCTTTGGAAGTTGAGGAAGACCCAGCCCCTAGTGCTTAGGATTTCTACTAGCTCTTAATTTAAATAGCTCTTTATTTTGAAAGACTTCTAGCCTTCATTTTATCATGATATGTATTTTGGAAACACTCTTTAGGTCCCATTGAATCTTTATTCAATCATGTATTTTGGAGAATTATGAACTTGTACTTAAGTTTTAAAACTTCCCAGCCAGACTTGGATAACTGTACTCCTTAATCCTATCTATTGTGTAATCTTAACTGCTTTCTATTATTATAATCGATGCATTCTACATATATACATTGCTATATATTTTGGGATGTCACATTTATAATTTTTGTAATTTTATAATTTCATAACTATAATTTAATAATTTTATAATTATCTGATTTTATAATTTTTTATTTATCTAATTTTTTATTTTTTATTTTTATATTTTATACTTTTATAATTTCGTATTTCTATAATTTTAGAACTTTATAATTTTATAAACTTTATTATTTGTTAACTTTATATTTTACAACTTCATAATTTATATTTTTTAAATTTCATAATTTTATAATAATTTTATAACTTTAATTAACTCCGAAAGCAACTTTTGTTAAGTAGAACGAATTCTTGTCATTTGAAACAAAAATATATATAAAATGATATTTAAAGAGATGATAAAACCTAATAATTGTTAACAAAAAAAATCAAGAAACAAAATTTCATTAATTTTTTTTAAAATTTTAGAAATTAATAGACTACAAAATTTTAATAAAAATTCGGTTAATTTCAAATTTATTAGAAATTTAAGTAAAAAATTTCAAATTTAATAGGACCCAAAATTTAATTAAACTATAAAATAATTAGAAGTGAGGTTTCTGCATATCAAATAGTAGAACACAGCAGAAACCATATGTTAATTAAATCTTGAGGAAATGAATTTACAAGTGGGATTTAATGGTTGAAGAATTGATGTACAGATTTAATTAAATATATGGGGCCATCTTTAATTTCTTCTGTACCAACCCTTTTCAAAAGACATTCAACACAATCATATCTAGAACTTATATGATGTGTAAACTTCATTTGCCAGCAAAACTTGGTTACCTATGAACAATTTCAGTGAAAAATTATTATTTGATATCTACTTTTTTTTAATAATAAAATCTTATATTTAACTAATAAAAATAAATATAAATAAAATCTTAAGATAAAATAATAAGATTTATAATTGTTAAATAGTAGTATAAAAATTATAGTTGTAAATTATCATGGTCTTTTTCTAATAATGAACATTTTCTATATTCTACCGATATAATATTTTAATAGTATATAATTATTAGATATCACATATAAAAATGAAAACAATAGATAATTCAAAAAATATGTACATAAAGATTTTTACAGTTATATAATACATAATTATAATATAATATATATATATATATATATATATATATATATATATATATATATATATATATATATATATATATATATACTCTTAAGAATAATATATTTTTAAAGATTGATATAGATAGGAAACTAAACTTACTCCTAAATTTCAACATGACTCTCGTTCTATATTGAATTCATTAGAGCATCTTTATTTGTTTACACGGTTAAAGTGATTATCACAAACAAGAATAAATAAATAGATAAAAACAAAGAGAAAATGGTAGTTTTCATAAATAAACATAAAATTAAACATCATACAACACTCATTCATAAAAAAAAACATTATCACATGTAATGCCTCCTTATAGACTCCATGATCCGAATAAAACATTGATTTAAAATCTTGGGGATAGAGCGCTTATGGTAAACTCTACTGTTTTGCAAAGTCATTGTCAGTAAGTTTCATCCTACCACACATAAGGTTAGTTTGTTAACACCCTAAGCCAAGGTAAAATCCCTAGACTGGGACATCTAGCTCCTATCATTATATACTTCACCCTTCTCTACCTAAGATTGGATGGTTATTAGAGTGTCAGGATGACATCTTACGTCTGAACTTCCTCATTAATGCGTACACTAATGAAACGTCACCATAAAATCTCCTCATGAGATCCATGAAATTATGCCAAATACATATACCATGCACTTAACAAATAATGAACTCATGATCATCACATATCATACATAAATAAGTCATACATACTCACAATCATGTTATTATCCCATGAAGCATCATAATTTCTGTAATAAACATACATATAACTCATGGTAAGCTACTTCAAACAATAAAAGATTAGAGAAATCATAAAACACCACATTGACACTCAAATTGACACTCAACGCAAAACCCTTGGAATATGGAGCACTTAATGCCAAAGCTCTCGTAATTTTTCTCACTTAGTGAGGACAACCTGTCGCTTAGTGAATCAAGATGAAAGAGGTTCCAAACTTATTGTAGAAATTGGCACTTAATGGTAACAGGCCACTGCTTAGTGCTAGATGATTCACATTTTTGCTCACTCAACGATATGGAGTGAAAATGCTTCCAAACCATCGCAACCAATCTTGCGCTCAATGCCAAATTAGAAACCAACAACTTCAATTTTGTGATTTGGCAAACCAAGGACCTATTCAGACAATCGAATTAGTATTCTTGACTCAGTGCTTGAATCAACAACATGTTTTACTGTCAAAAAAATATCAATTTGCTCACATAGTCATATCTTCAATCCCTCAACTCAACATCAATTCAAACAAAATCAAACATTATACAACCATCAAGCACAATAGAAACTCAACATGTTCAAACCCCAAATTTCATCAATCTAACGAATATCATGCAAGTTCATATTATCAACATACCAAAAACTTAAAACAAGGTAATTTAGCGTTCATTACCTTACAAATAACAAAACAACTTTAGAAGTTCTAAAACCGTTCCAACAATTCAAAAAACTTTTTATGCTCATACAAACCACAAAAACATGATCATGGCATATAGTTAAGACCACTTATCAACAAAAAGTCTTATAGAAGACTCAAACGTCACATGCAACTACTAAAAACTCGCATGCAAAGGAAGAACGAAACAGACCAGAGAAAGAAGCATAAATAAACATATTCTATCTAAGAAACTGATCAAATAGAGTTGAAGATCTTGTCTCAAGGATCACTCAGTCAGTCTATGACCTTCAAATAGAATGATAACCCAGAAAAAAATTAGAAAACTCTAAAAAAATATTTTTTAGAGAGATTGTGTTTTAAAATAATAAAATTCATTCATAACAAAATTATTTCTATTAAAATATTTTAATATTAAAATAATTAAGTTTCAATATTTTTAAACCACTATCAATTTAAAATATAAATTTCTAGATCTTTAACTTAGTTGTTTGATAAGATTTATTTCCTTTTTTATTTCAAACTAGTAATTAAGACATTTATCACGTATTAAAATTAAGATGCATGTATACATTAAGATAAAGAGTAATAAAAAAAGACCGTTAATTTTTTACTGGTTAAACTTTGAATGAAACACTAATACTTGAATACTATGTGGTAACTTTGGAGAATCTAATACTAACATCTTTGTTATGTTTGTCGCTAAGCGAAAAAATACAATTAACGGGATGACACAATACGAAGCTAAAAGTTACACTGCTCTCTAATATTTACAACCTATTGTTATAGCAATAAAGAAAACGTAAACATTAACTTTGATATTTTTCATTGATTATTGATAAGTTGCTTCCTATCATTACACCTCAAAAGCACTTTTTAATTCATCATGCAAATTATTTTTTATAACTCACTTTCAAAATACCATTCTCAAATAAAAGTCAATTTTTTAAATCCAATTCTTTGAAAAATATTTTTATAAAAATCTTATATTCTGCTCGGTATAAAACAGAAAAATATGGTAGATGAAAACACAAAACGTGAATAAAAATGAAAAATAAAGTACAAGTTAAAAGGGGTTAACTGAAAAGAGGGTAAAATATAAATAGAGATAGAAAGATAAGTATAAATATATAAAAAATAATAGGATAAAACTTAAATACAATAACTACGGTTGATGGTATTTAAAATTTTACTTTGATAATATAAATTTTCTTAAATGCATTGCATATTATTAAAATACAGCTCGATATATATAGAAAAACTTGCATGTTACGTTTCTCCAAAATATTACAGCTCGATATATAACTTCACTGCAATATTTTGTCAATCATAATAACTTGGAGATAAAAGGATCTTATTATTCTTTTGACTCTTTTATTTTCACTTTCCAAGAATTTCTATTTAAACAAGAACAACCATTCCTTGACATCTTTCTGCCATTTTTGTTCTGACACACAACCAGTAAGAGTGTTCTCACTATTATAGTACAAGTAAGAAATCCACCACCCATTACCCCACTAATGTCTAGCTTTCTTGAGTATAACATTCATGTCCACGTTCCAAAAGCAATAGCTGAAAAATATAATTTCTTAAAGCATTTAAATCATTATTTGACATGATAGAAAGAAGCTTCATTGTTAATGACAGTTACGTTTTACAATGCCTGATAATTACTAGTTAGTTTCTCAAACACAGACTAACTAGTATCTCAAGTTCTTCATAATTCATTGCTCTATCATCATTTCATACATCAAATTGCTTTGATCGTGGAGGCTACTTCTGGAAGAGATTTGTGGCACAGTTCACATACAGAAGTAGCCAGATCTCAATTTTAACCCAATGTAACATTACCATACCATGCACTACAGGGGTAGCATGAAACAACCTTAACTTTATCCTCACGTTTGTGGAGACAACCATGACGTGAGCTGATAATAACTATTGAATTTTATAAAGACAACATTAAGTTCTTCAAAGTAGACATGACATAAAGAACGATATTTAACATACATTAACTAAAGCACCTATAATAACCTTGACAGACATAATCCTAATATCATTTAGGAGTTGAATAACGAGAATTCTCATCAGTTTCAGTTCTTGTGCCATTGGGTGTTGAGCAAGCCGTAGGTGAGACAAGACCACCTAGTAACCTGTACGAGGAAGGTGAAGGAGGAAGTTTTGGAGAAAGGTTAAGCATTTCCAGGGCCTGCAGTCTAAGCTCTACAGGGTAGTCAGCAACACACCCAATTCTTGGTCCAGCCCCAGTTGACCATTTACGTGAAAGTTGATGCCCCAATTGGTAGGATTTTGCCTTCTTGGAATTGATTCTTTGCAATATTGCTTTCTTGGGCACCTCAGCTCTTGGACTCTGAAGACCACCTGAGAGAGTCCTTTTATAACTACCAACAGATAAAGGTTGAGGGTCTACTACATTGCTTGAAGATGAGGTGTTCTCAGCTTCCTCAGAAATTCCAGGCTCTGGTATATTACCATGGTTAGAATCTTCAACTACTGTCTCCATTTCACTAACCTTTCCATCCTCGTAAGCATCGCCATCATCTTTTGGATTGCGAATCTGAAACGATGCATCATGATTGTTCAATGAAAAATGCAGGTGATTATCTACATGAAGAAACAGCTTTTGGCGTAAACAAACACTTAGCTTCACAAGAATGGCCTGCTATAAATAAATTACCTCAACTTCATCAATATTGACACCATTTTCTTTGAGATATGATATGAAGGAGTTGAGCGCCTCATCTGTTGGCCGATAGTGTCCACTATATGCAGAGATGGACTAAAAGGCCAAAAGCATAGAGAATCAGTCATTTGTCATTTTTCAATGCACAGATATAGCAATTAGTAAATGAGTCTATCAGTGAGATTCTATGTGCATAACCAAATTTGTACCAAAAGAAAAAAAGATGACAACAGCACACTACAATATTATAAGAGATTCCAATAGGACAAAGACCTCAATTAATCATGCAACCTATGAAATTAAGTATACCTTAAGAACACCATGCTCAGCCTCTAGCCTTCCAGCAGCCAAGGTAGCTCCACCAGCTAGAAAAGAAGAATGGTGGAATAATCCCTTCTTTTTCTGAGAGGTTATTACAAAGTATCAAGATGACTGGAAAGAAATGGCAGAGTTGCCTGTATAAAAATGAGAAACAGAAAATTGGAAACAATTACTGAGTTTGAATTGTTACCTTGCCAGCATAAAGTTTCTTTGAGGTGCTCATTACGAATATCCACTTGGCATCCTTAGAATCTTCTTTTGTGTGCAGAAAATCCCCAGATTGCCTGTGGATAATTTTCCCCTCGCAGACAGTGTATTCATAGTGCTCTCTCTCTTGCTGTTACAGAAAATTATTGAGAAGGATCAACTAGTCGAAAAGCAGGAAAAAAAGGCAACAACTTTTTGAATAATACAGTACAAATTACAAAGCAAATAGTCAATCAAGTCAACGACAACTTAAATTAACAAAAGAAAAAAAAGGTGATAAATCCAACAAGTAGGTGCACATACAGGTCCAAGATACTTTATGCATTGCTTTCGGAGTTTCGATCTCGGGCACTGTTCAAGATCAAGATTTTTTCCATTTCCCAAATCCAACCTGCAGAATGAGACAAATTAAAAAGTTTCAGTGAAAAACCACAACTTTAACCTCTTCATCGTTCCACTTAACATTTCACTCCACGTGACAAGCTTCCCTTAGTCAAAACAAGAAATAGAAAACAAAATCAAAATTGCCCATTTCATCTAACCAATGAAATTGGGCTACTAAACAATCCCCTTTTTTCATGGAAAGTATGAAAGGCAATGAACACCAATGGGATTTTTAGATGCTTAAGTGTAAAGCAAAACATATTCCCCTGTACTCACAATGAAACCATCCAACACCAACAGCATATTGTCAATCAGACACGACCAAGCCCAATGAATGAATCAATAAATGCTTTCTTTATAGAAAATTAGTCTCACCAAAAAAAGAATGGCTGGCCAGAATCCGTCTTGCACCATTCTTCATAGTAATAATGCAAGTTATGCCCATAGCGGTGGCGTGGATCAATCTACAGTTCAAGCCATAACACCAAATGAATGATGACTATGAAATATTGAGAAGTAATAAATCACATCCAAAACATGAAAGCTACTATTATTACTACTACTAGCTTCTTCTCATTAAACGTGAAAAACCAAGACGTGGAACCAAACACGCTACAACAGAGATAACGATGACTTAGCCATATATAACAAAATACAAATAAAATAAATAATGCCAATGTGAGGTGTTAGGAAATGCATGCTCACAGCTTCAATCCAATGTTGAAAAGCCAATTTTTGTGCTTTGGCGTCCAAGAACAAGCCCTTTCCCACCTGCGAAAAACAGTTGACTTCAGAATCAAACATTATCTTAGTATCAACGGAACAAAAGGCAAAATAGCTTCCAACAAAACGTACAAGTACTCGTATAGTATCCGTATTACACATAAATCTATTAAAGAATATAGAGAGAGAGACCTTGGAAGCGTTGAGTTTCACCCTATTCCACCGTGATGCAGCACTCTCGGGCAAATTGAAAAACGAAATGGTGCTGTGGTTTAACCTCGCGAAATCAATCACTTGCCACCTTCAAATTTTCAAACCCCACCTTCTCAAACTCAGACCCAATAAAATTTTAAAGAAAAAAGAAATGTCCTAAAAAAAAGAATATAAATTATATATATATATATATATATATATATAGAGAGAGAGAGAGAGAGAGAGAGGGCATGCAGAGAAGACGCACCAGAGCTCCTCGGCGACGACGGCGGAATCAGCCAACCTCCGGCGTGTGCGGTAACTGCGGTAGACCTTTTGCACCTTGAGGGCAGCAGTAGTCTGGGGGCAGGCGCGTCCCGGCGCGTGAGGCCCCGATGAGCCGTGGGTGGGTGAAGGTTGTGACAGGTCTTGAGGGGAGAGTGGGAATGTTGGGGTCGGGTATTCGGAGCTCCGAAATTGAGGATGATGAATGTCGTAAGGGAATGATGCGTTGGGGTTGGGGTTGACATCGAAGGTGGAGTGAGCGTGGGTGTGAGTTTGAACCTCCATTGAGACAAAGAACACGAAAACACTAACAGTAATATGCAGAATCAATTGAGTTCTTAGGATGTTCTCTGAATCAGAGAGAGAAAGAAGGGTTTGTTTCTCAACAGAGTTTGATCGTTCGAGTAAAACGATGTCGGAGAGTGAGTGAAGAGGAGGGAGTTAAGAAGCACGCATTACAACGTTGGAATTAGCGAGTGGATAGTGGTGCTTAAATATGAAGTTGGGAAGAACACAGGGGGTCCCTTTCTTTATTATTTTTCCTTTCTTGTTGCCTCCCCACGCGCTTCCCCTGTCGCGTGGTCTTCCTTCGACCCACAGAGAGATTTTGACGTGTTAATATTGAGTCAGTCAATGGAAGGGGATTTTGGAACTGGACAACGCAAGACATTTTAAAATCGATATATTTCTTATAAGAAATATATTGTGTTACATATGCAACATCATTAAATTATTATGACAAAGCTGATGGAGTAGAACTTTATTAAGATTTAATTTTATTTAATTCAATTAATGAATTGCTTAAATTGTCTTCATAATTCTGTTACACTTTGGAAATTTTATGGTTTTTTTTTTTTTGCATAGTATTTGTATATTTAAATATACAATGTAATAATAAGAAATTATAAATACTTCGAATAATAGATTACACAATAAATATCTAGTAAAAAATATTATATACTAAATAATAAATGTTGTGAAATGGTTACGTGTATGAATGAAGCTTATCTTCAAATTTGTGTACATAAAAGAGTATATGTTAGAAAATCAAATTTTGTAAATGAATATAAAAAATATACTGTATTTAGAATGAATTATTATAAAATGAAATTAGAGAGATCATTCTTCTCATGTTCTGTTAGAAGTAAAAGAAAAGTTCATTTCCAATAAAAAATGTTTTTTTTCTTCAATTTAAATTTCAAACATTTTCCTTCTCTATAATTTTTCTTCTTTTCAGCCGCCAGACATAGGATTTATGTTTTACTCCTGACAAACAGGCTAACTTTGCTCAAAAAAATCATTTTTAAAAATTATATACTTATTTTAGTTTATAAAATGTTTTGATACAATATGCTACTTGTCAAATTTAATATCCAAAAAAAGTTACTAAAGTTGGCATTAAATTTAAAAATTGATGTGACTTGACTTTACGACAATGCGTTTTGTAAATAGATTAATTTACATAATCAAACTTAAAATATTAACATTAAGTATCGTACTGTATAAACCTATACCTGTTATTTCATAAAAAATAGCTTTTACTAATTCAATCCTCGTTTTGAGAATTTTCAATATTAAATTAAGTGCGTAGAAGTTTATATAATTAAGGAACTAATAATAGTTCATTATATCACTTTGTTGTAATATATAATATATTATTAAAAATATAAGCAAATTTTTATTGCCGGAGGACATGCAAATATATTTTTTAATTACTTAAAGTTATATATACATGAGCATTAAGATAATTATTTTATTAATTGTATCTCATTCTTTAAGGGAGAGCTGTTTCTAAAAGGTGTATTATTAATAATTATCTTAAATATATAATTAGCAAAGTGGTTTTGCTTTTGTAGTTTTCTTCCACATGGTTTTACTGCTGAAAAATATGCAACTTGTGTTTGATAGGATTCAAAGCTGGCACACAAATGGACCTTCGAGGAAAGTCCACAAAAAAAACAGCGTGGTAGTTAAGAATTAAGATTATTTTGTGTGATCAAATTGAGGAAAAACAGAACCTCCTACACTATTATTGTGGAAGATTTATTTTATTGCATTGTTGAGTTTTATCCTCTATCTTTTTCATCTAATAAAAATATTTAGTTGGTTTGTCTCGTAGAGATGTTCTAGTGAGGGAGATGGTACTGTGTTATTTAATTAATATTGCATGTAACCTAAAGTATTAGTGTTGCTAGCTGACTATTTTATTGGTCACGTTTTATGCTATTTAACTCTATTTAGCTATAGTATAGGACTTTTTAACTCTATTCATTAATGTATGTGAGTAATTTGTTGTTAATATTTTTTAAATTTGTCTTTTCTTATTTCAGACTGTGCTTTATTCCTTTTGTAATTATTGCTTTTGTTTCTGAATGTGTCGTCAAGAAGAATATTTATTAAGAATCATATTTATTTCCCTTATTTTATTTGTTTAATGTTTAACAAATTTTGTTAGCTTCTTTATGTTTAACAAATAGGTATATATTAAAGATTTGGCTGCGATTCATTTTACATTGACAGGTGGTTGATTCCAAGTTAAGATTAATCGTTTTTGTTTGTTTTGTGTGTCATAAAAAAATCTTCAACAATATATTCAAGAAGATGATCATACAACAAAAATTGAGAAGTTTATGAAAATTAATGGTTTCAATATGTAACACATCAAATTGTGTGTTTTGTTGAAGGAACAAAGTGTTTCAGATACTTCTTTCTAATAAAATTATCTACGGTAAAAAAAATTGAAAAGAGGCATCTTACTTTGCAAGATAATCAATTATAATTAATAAATAATTAATTATTAATTCATCTTATATTTTTCAGAAATTTTTAGAAATTTAGATAATCAATTATTACTTTTGAAATAATCAATTGTTAATAACATTCTAAAATTTCAATTCAATCAATAATAAATTATTAGCTTGGTACAATCAATTATTAAGCATAGATTTCTGAAAAAAAAATATGACTATAACAATTTAAGACACATTACAAACATTCACTAGGTCTAAATCTTTTCTATTATATATATATAATATATAATAATAATTATATATATATATATATATATATATAGCATATCCAGGTATCCAAAGTTTAGTCAAGATATCAACTTTGGAAAGACTTTCTTGAATGAGAGTTTCTCTCCACATCACCACATGTTTCTTTCTTCACCATCCCATTGTAGTAGAAGGCACGAAAAGGGGAGATCTGTTAACGGATATGAGTATCCGTTCAAGAACAAACGGATATGAACATTCGTTTCTTCTGTGTTGATATCTGTTTGACGGATTTGTACATCTGTTTAACATTTTGAGCATGAGCGTTGTTAATTGTTTGTTATATAATGCAACCCTTTATCTAGCACCAACACTCTAGCAAACTCTGGTATGTTGTGCCCCTCATCTCCCTTCGCCAAAGAATAGGGGTTTCTTCTTTCTTCAATGACTTCAGTTTCTCCAGGTTGTCACTATACGTGCCCTTCTATCGAGCACGCCGCTACCATTGCCGTGCATCTTCCCTCGGACCCCGAACCGCCTGCGAAGACGTTAACTCCCTATTAATCTTTGGGTCACACTGTTGTTCGCTTCCGGGACAACCACCAGCAACGCTTCTTTCTTCATTCGAAATACAGATCGAGAGTTGGCAACGCACTACCTCCCTAGTGTGCTCTTTGTTCGAAATGTTTCTCTGTTTTGATTGGGTTTGTGTGTGTTGGACAAGAATGCTAACTATATGGAGGGGATGAAAATGACATGGCCTTGAATGATTGTTCAGACAATGGTTTTATTGGAGAATGAATTATGGGTTGTGTTGAATGGATGCAAAGATAAAGTACGAAATTGGTGTTGCCCAAATGGTGGTGTATTTTTTATATTTTGAAAGAGTGAAGAAGGGGTTGGAGTGGTATTGAGAAAGAATGGAGAGGAGAAGAAGATGGAAAGAAAGAATTTAGAAAATGAAAAGTGGGGGTGGGGTTGGGGTGCAACGGTGGAGATTAAAGAGAAAGATACTAGGATTTGAAAAAAAATAAAAAAGTAAATAGTATTCACCTAAGGTTACTTTTGGAATTATTAAAAATTAGAGAAGTGCAGGGAGAAGGGTGTGGTGGTGTAGGGAGAAACACTCTTCTTGAATTTGAAATAACCTGTAAGACAAAAAAATAACATTTTGGTCTCCAAAAACTTATATGGATCATTTATTGGAACTCAAACATATCTTCCATTTGTAACATCAACATATTTTATTGTACATTTACTTGAAGTTTGTCCCTTTTTCATACAATAAAAGCATGTTATACAATCAACATTCCTGGAATAAGACTTACCTTTTTCTACCCATACCCTACATGGTCTTTTATTCTTCTTCTTGTTCTTAAAACCTTGCTTGTTTTTATTAAAAGTCTTTTTCTTAAACATTGGCTTTTCAAAAATTTTATTTTTAGGTAATTTTCTAGAATGTCAGTATTAAACATATGGGTTTTACAAGATGCACACTCAATATATACATTTCTACTTTACTCTAAAATTGAAATTTCGTTATTTAATGTTTCTACTTCTTTCAAAGATTTTTCAAAATTCTTTTCCAAAGCTTTATATTCTGATTTCAATTTTCTATATACATAATTTAATTTTTCAAATTCAGCATTAGTCTTGAAAAGCATAAAATAATTCATCATAATAATTTGACTCACTAAAAACACTCGAATTACTGATCTCGTTGCAACTTGATTCATTTTCTGCTATCAAACAAATGTTAGCTTCTTCATTTAAATCACTAGAGTTTTATGAAGAGCTTGAATCATTCTCCTTCCATTTCTTTTTCTTCAAGAATTTTCTGCCTTTTTTCTCTTCACTCAACATTTGTACAATCCATTTTGGCATGTCCCAAAATCTCCACAATTGTAGCTCTTGAATTTTGAAGATGAACCTTGATTCTTCTTTCTATGAGAACATTTACATCATTAAGTCTATATTTTCGCAATCAGAGTCATCATCTTCTTCAGGGCTTTTGATTTTGATGACTTCAAATTTAAAAGTAATATTATTTTTCCTTCCTTGATCCTCTTCTTCATTCAACCTTCCAAGTTCAAGCTCATCCTCTCTTAATTTACCAGAAAGAGTCGTCATAGACATGGTTGCAAGGTTTTGTGACTCTGTGATGGTCGTGACATTTTGCTGCCATGTATTGTTCAAATATTTTAGAATTTTAATATTTAATTCATATGTATCAAAGGTTTTACCTAAGCCAGAGAGATGATTGGCGATATGCGTTAAACGCTTCTACACGTCATATATGGTTTTGACTTGTTGTTTCCATAACATCTTCTACTCTTAAATTAATGAGTTCTTCCTAGCTCGCTTCATATCATCTATTCCTTCATGGGTTACTTTAAAATTTCCCACATTTCTCGAACACTTGAATAAATAGATATCTTGTAAAACTCATCAAGGGTTAAAGCAAATGAAATTATGTTTCTAGCTTTAACATCATATTGAACCTTTCTATTTTCATCTCTAGTCTATTGTGAAAAGGGCTTAGGTTCCTACACATAATTAACCGTAATAGTAGGAACAAAA